ATAAATATAACATAATATATACTCTATATATATATATGATTATTTGAAACAAATACAATTTTCCTGAGATAATAAAAAAACAGATATAGTCACACAGTTTTTGTCAACAAATATAGACGCGTCGCTGTTAGACAATTCGAAGATTAGGTAACAATATCCGATCCATGTTTTTAAATATTGATATATTATTCTCAAATATCCTTATTAACCGTATTACTAATGTATACACATTGTCTGTATAAGTGAAATATTTCGTTACTCTATAATACATAAAATATTTTTACATAATAAATAAATGTAATACAATATTTAAGTATTGTATAATACATAACAAATGTAATAAAATATTATATGAATAAATATTAAATATTTTATATACACTGTGTGCTTTTTTATTTGAACTGAAATATATGCGAAATAATCTGATAATCTAATATATATATATATATAATTTTCTATCTATTTACTCATAAATAACAGAAATAAATGCTCTACAATAACAAAATAATTTTAATTATACAAACAATTACACGTACAAAAGAATTAATAGTACGGTTAAAATAAGAGTATCCTAATAATATGGAGTATTCAAAATTACGAATTAGAGGTGCTCGGATATTATTCGCAGATTTAAGATAAGGATCCAAGCACTCAGGTATTCAGCTGTCGAGTATTAACACTAATCGCTATTCCTGGCTAAATCCGCATACGACACCCAAGGTATCGTATATGGGAACACAGAGAGATGTAGCTACCTATTCCTCAAGCATTTTCAATTTGATAAAACGTCTGGGAAATAGGCGAACCGCTGTGCTCCTGTATGGAACAGACTGTCTACTTTCAGAAAGCAAATTTTGTTTTTCTTCGAGATATACACTTTGATTTTTAAATAATCTATACGTTCTTCTTCTCTGCAATATTTCAGGGTCGTCAATTGCATAAGAAACAACAGTGGGACATGAAAGTAAAATAGCCTTTATTACATTGTGAAACGAGGACAATTTAACGAACGTTCAACAATTGCTATAGTTCTCTTCTTTTCACACTTTCGCTCTTTTCTTTCTTTTTCCTTCTTGTTTCTTTTTTCTACCCGAATATTTTCGCAACATGTGCGACATGTTTCCTATTTTTTTTTTATTATCTTATATCAATCAAATAAATGTTAAGTTTTGCAGCAATATTGCTGAAAATATATATTACATTATAATCCGGTATTTCTGTGCTCTTTTCTGAGCTTATGCAAATTGTTTTCGATCGTTTTCGCGCAGCGACTTCCGCGTCTTTCTCGTCTATTCCTCGTTTTTTTAAATTTTTCTATCGACTTAGTTTTCTTATACTTTAACTGGCTAATTTACTCTTTCTCTCTCTCTCTCTCTCTCTCTCTCTCTCTCTCTCTCTCTCTCTTTCTCTCTCTCTCTCTCTCACTTTCTCTTTTATTACGCGCGATCGCATCGTTACATTATAACACATATTAGATTATCGAATTCCAAAATTGTGCATTCTCTCTTTTTTCGCTCACGTTCTCTCTCTCTCTCTCTCTCTCTCTCTCTCTCTCTCTTGCTCTCTCCCTGCAGAAAAAAGGCACGAACTGGCGGAAAAGTCGGCCTAACTGTATAATATTTTCATTTATTTATTATGGATGGAACTTCGTGTCACAATACATTATAGTTTTCTTTATTTCTTTTCTCCACCGTCGTCCCGTGGGCTTTACGGTGGTTTCAGCCCGTTTAACTCGTTAGTGCCGCGAAAGCTAACAACGTAGTGTACGCAGCGCAAGAATATATGTTTGCACATATGTATTAATTTATTTGTATATTAATTTTTAATAATTTTTTGTATTAGTAAACATCTATTTTAAATGCCCATCCGTTAACGATCAAATTTGCTAAGATCGTCTTTAGATTAACACGAGTAATTTCTTCAAATTGATTTTTCCTCTTCATAGAACAAACAATAATATGCATCAAGTTTGATTGTTTTACATACGATGATTATATATTATTTATAAAACCAATCACATTTTTAAGATAATTATTTTTAACATATAAACTAAGATTTTTAAATATTTTTACATTTGAACGTTTCATAGAAAATCATATTCTATAATAAAGTACATAAAATAAAAATGTTAATACATAGACACATTGTTGGATTAATTTCTTTGTTTACTTTTTACTTATATTATTTTAAATATAGACTATACATATATAAAAATGTTCATTAGATTTAAACTAAAATAGATAGGTATAAAGTAATTCTTTGAAATAATTCTTAAAAACTAATCTGTTGTACTTTCTATTATATTAGCTTTGCTATATCGTTTCATAAATAATTTTTGCCTGTGCTTTGCACAAATTTAAAACTTTGCTACAAATATGCACACACAAAATTTATCTGAAATAATATTGCTTTAAATTGAATGGAATTGAATTGAATGAAATTGAATTGAATCGGTCTTCTAAAGACCGATGAGTTTTTTTAAAAAGCGCTTGTTAATTATTAGAAAATCACCTCGCTCCGAATTTGCACAGCGTACACCACATTGTCAAAAAAGAAACTTGTCCCCTTTCTCTACTTTTTTCTCTCGTCCAATTACGTTCACACCGTACATGTTACAATACTATCACTCCACATCGCTATTCTTGGCGATTAAATGTAATTGTATGTATCTAATATATAGTATATACACACAATATCGTGTATATAATATATATGCGCGAATTTTTTACGGTAAATTTATCTGTTTTATATGTCTACAATATTTATATATATATATATATATATTTATTTATTTATATATACTATGGTGTGTAGTATGCTTACGCCATCTAATCTCTAAAAAAAACGATACTTGTCAAACGATTATTGTCTGCGGTATTTTTTGTTTTCAAAATTACTCATTTATGTATATATAATATATACAGTATATTTAATTTTTTCGTACTTATATAAGTCAATAGTTTTATATATGAAAAGCTCAACGACGTGACACACCATGTAGTTATTCATCGAGTATAATAAATCTGAAAGTTCTTGCACACACGCTTCACGATACTCCTTATAAAATCAATCCACGATCTACTTTACAAATGTGAACGAACAGAAAAAAGAAAATTGTTTTGTTTTCAATAATTTTTTTAAATTAGTGTCCAAAAAATTTCATGATAAATTAAAATTTTTAGTTTTACGATTAGCAGTATAAAACTTTGATCAAGGAGAATCGCAAAGATAATCTCTCTCTCTCTCTCTCTCTCTCTCTCTCTCTCTCTCTCTCTCTCTCTCTCTCTTTCTCTCTTTCTCTCCTCTCT